GGACCGTAAGATAAGATGGCGGCAGTGATGCAAGTTGAAAAGTAGGTCTCGGATTTATGATGGCATAAAGGGTCTCGTGTGCCATGTTTACCTGTTACATCTGAGGGGCACTGTTGTGGGGTTTTTAGACATAGGAGCGAGCGGTCTCTTTGACTTCACTGTGGACAATGAACTAGAGTAGCCAAGAAACAAGGTGAGGCATCCATTTCAGTAGAGATGAAGAGAGTGGTAATAGTGACTGAGTGGAGTGGATAGATTGGAGAGATATAAAGGAAGTAGAACCAACACACCTTATCAACATATGGGTGTGGGGTTAAAAGAAAGTAGGTAATGTTTGAAGTAATAAATAAAACAGACCTTACCTGCATGTACCTGACAAGATAGGCACATACAAAACTAAGCATAATATAATTAAAACCACAACTTATATCCCTTACTGAACAGATATTTGTGTGTCCTTTCCAAGTATTTTGGAAGTATTACTGTAGATTAGTGGTCCAGTGATGATCCCTGTAAAGGAACAATACATATAAGGATTAAGTATACTGAATAGTCTGGTATGTCACTCTCGAGTTCTCAAAAATAGAACCAAATGGACTGAAAGGAAATCAAAACCAGATGTATGAACACTTTTCAAGTTAGTTTTCCTCTAGTGCAGTCCTTATACCTCGTATACCACAACCAACTTGAGCTCTCTTGCCACTGGGTCTAAAAATTTTTTTTTTTTATGTTCCTGGCAGAGTTTAGTTGATACTGTCTGTTATCTCGGATAGAAATCATAGTGATACATTTACACAGTGCATCGGTCTCACCAACTCTTCCCACTGTGCAAATAGCTCAATAAATGTAAGTTTGGCACTTAGAAAACCACAGATATTTTTGTCCTGCTTACATTGTCATTTTACACAAACATTTTGGCTTACTACACGTCACTGTAATATTAATTAGAGTTTTTCTTTATATTAATGATTGGTGCCTCTAAAAGTTCCCAGTGAGCATAACTGAACCTGTCCAGTAATCTCATGAAATATCTCAATATTTCCATACCACTACTGGAAAGTGATAGCTCATTTTGGCAGATGGGAAGATTGAAATAGTGACTTAGATGTATCACCTCAAGCCTCCTTATCTGATGTCTTCCCTATATATGCTGTTTCCAAAATAACATGGTTTGAAATAAAACGAGAAGCATATTCAAATGTCAGATAACAACTTTATGTAATCGCTTAGTCATAAAGGCAGTTCCAGAAGGAGGTAGAAGACAACCAAAACAGAATATTGTAGTTTTTATAAAATGAGAGGTAAAGAAAGGACTAGGAAACAGTCCAGAAGGCTCCTAGACAGTAACAGCCTCTCCTAATTGGAGTAAATCAGTAAGCTAGTAATCATTAGGTTTACTAATATCCACTGAAATACAGAATAAAATAAGAAACACAGCTCATGCCTTGGCTTGATAAGTGCTAGAAAAACAGGATTTGCCTGCAGTTGTTTGTTATAGCTTCATACTTTCTTCATAATCAGAAGAAACTTCTGGATAGGCTATACACATGGTTTCTAGCTTTTCTGACAGATTCGTAGGGTCACCTGATTCATTCTTTCTCCTAACAATTCATAAGAAAATAGTATCTTTTAATAAGGAAGTTATAATAATATTTTTTAATGAGTTGATATATGATTTATTAAATCTCCTAATTAATTTATTCATGTCAGAAATTTAAGTATAAGTCATTTTTAACCTTAAGAACTGTTTGATACAAGCTCCTGATCAACATTTTTAAAACCACTGTTACAGACTACTCAGATGTTACTAAGTTGTAGAATCTTCTTTGCTTTTTATATACGCAAGTCCAAACTCTTAAACATACTTTAGTAAGGAAGGTCCCGAAAATGACACCATGCTCTATTTTTTTGTGTCTTCTAGGAACTGCCTTATGCCCAAATTGAAAACTAATGCATCGTCTTTATGTTGTGGCTATGGTCCTTATGAAATCTAACTACCAGAAATCTCTCTTCCACATCCAACCCATACGTTTCTTTACTAAGTGACACATTAAAGTTGTCAAATTCAGTTTTTAATACCTAATTTAGATTTATGGATCTGTAGAAGTAATGTGAGGAAATTATAAAGCTATGCTATCTAATATCACTAGGCATTAGCTATGTATGGCTATTTAAATCAGAATTTAATTTAAACATAATTTAAAACCCAGTTCTTCTGTTGCACTTGCCATATTTAAAGTGTTGCACAGGGAACTCAGCCCAGTGCTCTGTGATGACCTAGAGAAGGAGGATGGAGGGAGTAGGACGGAGGCTCACAAGGGAAGGAGTACATGTATACATATAACCAGTTCATACGGTGTTGTTGTACAGCAGAAAGTAACACAACATTGTGAGGCAATTATATTCCAATTACAAAAATATTTTAAATGAAGTGCTCAGTAGCCATATAAAGCTAGTGGCTACCATGTTGGACAGCACAGATGTAGAACAATGCAGAGTTTAATTAGACAAAATAGTCAAGAAAGTATTGATATAAAAGGTACTTCAGTTGATAGTGACTTACACATTTATATGTAAAAATGCCCTTATGATGGCTTCTCAGGAGGGAAGACAATCAAACTGTTTATAAAGAGAACCTAAAATTTAATTTTATTTTGCAAAAAAAGTGACTAAAGTTTTATAAATCGCACTTTCTATCCTCAAATCCTACCCTCAAAGATTTACAAATGCAGAACTTCTGAAGGCTGCATGTGCAGAGCTGTGTGTAGAGCTAGTTCAGGATTCCCAGAATTTCTCCAGTCCATCTTATACAACTCTTCCCTTCTGCACATTTGCTCACTAGCTTCTACACAAAGTGTTGACTTAAATGTATATCTTATATATATATATTTTAACTTCTGTCTAATCTTCTGACTTAGGTCCTTGGTAGACAAAGACTAATATATAGCCATATTTGTGTATCATCTTGAAGTAATGTCTTTAAACGCCACTTATACACCCCATATTTTTCTACTTTGTATAAGAAAGTGATCATTCTTAAGGAAATAGGGTCACCCATCTGTTAGCAAAAATGATAAAATATTTTTTCCACCCTCAGTTTTTTCAAAAGCAGATCCTTCTGATAAATTCTATTTGGTAGTGCTTGAGTCCAGGCTGAGCCTGGGAAAGGTTAGGGTAAATCTGGAACATCTTGTTCCAGGAACTGTTGGGAGCATAATCAAAGGGCATAAATGCCAGCCTGAAAGGGGTTCTCCCTGGCCAGACCTGGGGAAAATTAAGTATATTAATGAGTTATAAATCATTTTTAAAAATAGCAATCTATTTTTAGTTCATACTGATGGTGGATGGATGGATACGAAAGAAAGGAAGACTCTTCTTTATACTATAGTGCTGATTGATAAATTTGGATGCATTGTGAAGTTGGAAAATCACTGTTTTGCAATCATCATAACGAAGATTGGTTTTGGGAAAGAATGATCTGTAGATGCTGAATATAAACTTGAAGTTTTGACAAGAAACAGGATGTTTTGTTGTTTAGTCACTCAGTCATGTCCCAACCCATGGACTGCAACACGCCAGGCTTCCCTATCCTTCGCTATCTTCCAGAGCTTGCTCAAACTTATTTACATTGAGTAGATGATGCCATCCAACCATTTCATCCTCCGTCGCCCCCTTCTCCTCCTGCCCTCAATCTTTCCCAGCATCAGAGTCTTTCAGTGAGTCGGCTCTTCACGTCAGTTGGCCAGAGTATTAGAGCTTCAGCTTCAGCATCAGTCCTTCCAGTGAATATTCAGGGTTGATTTCCTTTAGGATTGACTGGTTTGATTTCCTTGCTGTCCAGGGGACTCTCAAGAGTCTTCTGCAGCACCACAGTTCAAAAGAATCAATTTTTCAGCACTCAGTCTTCTATATGGTCCAACTCTCACATCCATACATGACTATTGGAAAAACATAGCTTTAACTATACGGACCTTTATCAGGAAAGTGATGTCTCTGCTTTTTAATACACTGTCTAAGTTTGTCATAGCTTTTCTTCCAAGGAGCAAGCATTTTTTAATTTCATGTCTGCATTCACTGATTGGAGTGATTTTGGAGCCCAAGAAAATAAAGTCTCTCACTGTTTCCATTTTTTCCCCATCTATTTGCCATGAAGTGATGGGACCAGATGCCATGATCTTAGTTTTTTGAATGTTAAGTTTTAAGCCAGATTTTTCACTCCTCTTTCACCTCCATCAAGAGGCTCTTATGTTCCTCTTCGCTTTCTGCCATAAGGTGGTGTCATTACATAGTCTTAATTGTCTCACCATTTCTTAGTTACAGGAGGAAAATAACTATAAAAATGGAAAAAACAGAGGCAGATGGGCCTCTAAATGTGATAACCTTGAGATACATTCAGTATCAACATACATTCAACATTATGTCATATTTACATGTAAGAGGGAGGTATAATCTGAATTTAATCAGAGAACATCAGGCAAAATCAAAATGGAAAACATTCTGTTAAAAAGAGGGGGCTGTGTTCTTAAAAATATCAGTGTCATTGAAGAGTAGGGAGAAGGCGGCAAGGGGGAAGGCTAATGAACTACCCCAGATTAGTGGAAATTAAAGAGACATGACATCTTAATGCCAGTCTTCAATATACGACTAGATATATGGACTAGAACTGAAAAAAATGATAAAAAGGACATAAGTGGTACAGTTGTGAAGATCAAAAGTGGATGGTAGATCAGATAAAAAGTATTATATTGATGTTAAATTTCCTAAATTTGGTAACTATACTGTGAATATCTTGGTTCTTAGGAAATACACAGTGATTTCCTAAGGGTAAAGGGACATGAAGTCTGTAATTTGATCTCAAATGGTTCAAGAAAATAATTTTGCTTGTACAAAGAGAATACAATGTCAAATAAAGGCTACAAAGGAGTTCTCTTTGCAACTTTCCTATAAATTTGAAATAATGTCAAATTCAAGATTTTTTAATTCTATTCAATGTTCTCTAGCCCTTTCTAAGGCACAAAATGACGTGATGATAATGAAGATGCAATCAGAGAGACTTTCAAAAGAGTATGACCGGCTCCTGAGAGAACACTCAGGACTTCAGGTGGGTGACATCCACTTTATGAGCCTCAGCTTTTAAAAAATAATTACTTAAGTCAGTTATTTGGGCTGTTCACCTTCCCAGGTCAAGGTGTTCTTAATTCTGACTTTGCTAAATGATTAAGCCAATTTTTACTTGAAGACTTAAGAGTGGGACATTGCATCAATGTGCAAGATAATCATGACATAGAGATTTACAGCATGCTAACTTAGAGCACTCTTGTTGCAGTGATGTTTTAAGCAAAAGAATTGAGCAGCATTGAAAAAAGGCTGGTCCTGAAATAATTTAGTTTTGACATTTTGAATATTTGCCATATGCATGTCAAAATACAACCAAAAATCAAAGACCTACATCACACTACTCTTCAGTCCTACTGTTTTAAACAACTTAGGACAAACCCTGCAGCATTCAAATATATATTTTTCCTCCAGAGTTGAGTTGAAAGATGGAAATAGGGAAAACCTTTTTGTCATTGAAGCCACAAAGTTGGGGCCATGATTTTCTTTCTCATCAAGAGCCAGTTCCCTACATTCACCCATGGAATGGGCTTGACTTCCTTCCCTCTTGGGCTGCCAGGCCATAACCTGAATTGATTTGCCAGCCCACTGGGAAGACCCACCCATTCCAGAGGCAACCCTGGCTTTCCTGGTTGCTCCCAAAATGGACTGTCTCTGCTCTTCTGCTTTCAGGTTGGGCTTTTCCTTAGGATTTGGCAGCATTTGTGGCCTCCAATCGAGGCTTTTTAGCAATTACAGCTCTACAGTTATTTCACTGTACAAGAAACCTTAGTCTCATTTCCCTGCATGTCAGTGGTCATTGTATCTTCAGGATCTAGCAATATGCCTCGTACAAGACAAGCAAGCACTCTACTCATAGGCCTTGGAGTCGGACAACTGGAATAACTCTTCACTCTCATGCTAGCTTTGTGATCCCAAGCAGTTTATGTCACCCTGCTGGGGCTCACTTCTCTTCACCTGTAGAATCAGAACAATAATAGCACCTGGCTCACCAGCTTGTTGGGAGGATTAAAGAAAATGTGTAGGCCACTTAGCATTGTACCTGGCCAGTAAACACCCAAGGAATGAGAGCTTTTACCATAATTATCACCATTATCGGTATTAATTCTTCTGTAGAAATTTTACTGAAATAATGAATTACTCTTATCCAGGCACTCTGGCCTTGATTAGAGCCAGTCAAGAGAAGGTCCAAAGCACATTGGCAATCTGTTATTCCCAGCCGAGTTGCATGTTTAACTAACCTACTTTGACAATAGGACACCCAGAGACAGATAGATACTTTTATGTGCTCCAGACCCAGGACTCCACAGGGTCTGGAGAAACCAGTTAGATTTTCAGCAAGACCACCCTTTCCCCATCTCTAAAACAGAGTACCTGAAATTGTTGGCTTTATCATGGCATGATGAGATGAGAATTATTCCTTTGCATCCTTCAAGATCCTCCATGGAAAGTGGAGAAACACTTTAGAAGCCTCTCACCTGGAAAAAGAACTTTTTCACCTTCCCATGTGTGAGGTCAGAGTATAAGCAATGAGGATGAGTACCTTACACTAGTGGACTCTGCCTAGGTGTCAGAAACATTTAGATCCCTAGATGGAGAAGCAGCAGGAAGACTCCATCATTGCTGAATATCCCATTGTGGCAGCATCCAATAATTCTCTTAATCCCTAAAAAATGTTTGTTACTGAGATTCACTCAACCCAAAAAAAGCATTCCCCAAAAATTTCAGCTTACAGCTTATACATTCTTTTTTTTTTTTTTTTTTATGTCAGTGTCCTGGTTGCACCCCAGAGCTTATACATTCTTGATAAAAGTGTTCAAAAGCTTTTATGAGAAATCCCCTCCCAAGAAACTGACTGTTAAATCTGTGTCTTTGAAAAAATGACCTCATCCCAAATATGCCACGTACCAGGCTGAGAGTTGGGCATTGATGCATTTAGGCCTTATATCCAGGTTTTTGAAATATTTAATGGATAGTACTTACTAAGGATGAGCTCTGGACCGAGCACTTAGTTGATGGCTTCATACAGCAATCCTCGTACTTTCTGTCCTAGCTTATCAACTAAAATGTATATTATGTAAATGAGGAAAATGAGACCTGTAGATGTTAATGTACCCAAAGTCACTAACTGAAAAGTGATAGCATTCACAACTGGGTTCAAAGTCAAGAAATCATCATCATTAACTGTTACGCTCTGTCACCTGCTGGTCATTGGACTTTGAGTTCTGGAATCTGTTCTCTGGCTTCTGGGCAGATTCAGCCAAAGGGAGGCATGGGTAAAAGACTAAAGGCAGAAAAAGGGGAAAGCCAGGACCTCCCCCTGCTCTCTCAGCTTTGGGCAGCATCTGCCACAGCGGCCTCATCTCTTTCCACAGTCCCAGTTCCCACTGGGGGCTTCCACCTGGTGTCCCTCATTCCTGGAATCTGTAATACTGTCTCCTCCATTGCCCTCCAACCCAAAGAGTGGTTTTCTCCTGTTGCTAATTCCTAAGTTGCCTTGCCATCCTCTTTCGGTGTCTACTCTCTTACCACCTATAAAACCAATTCCCTGTAACAAATATCTATTTGAAGAAAAAAAACTCTTAGCCCCATGGTTAAACAATTCTGTAAACCACGGGCAAATCATTTGACATTCATGCACCTTGGCTTCTTTAATGCTTAGATAAGGATTTTAATATCTCATGAGCATTAAATCCCAAGCAAGAAAGCCCTTCAAATATCTTTAAACAAGATAAACTCTCTACAACTGTTCAGTTCAGTTCAGTTCAGTCACTTAGTCATGTCCAACTGTTTGCGACCCTATGGACTGCAGCACGCCAGGCTTCCCTGTCCATCACCAACTCCCAGAGCTTACTCAAACTCATATCCATCACGTCAGTGATTCCATCCAACCATCTCATCCAATGTCATCCCCTTTTCCTCCTGCTTTCAATCTTTCCAAGCATCGGAATCTTTTCAGATGAGTTAGTTCTTTGCATCAAGTGCCAAAGTATTGGAGTTTCAGCTTTAGCATCAGCCCTTCTAATGAGTATTCAAGACTGATTTCCTTTAAAATGGACTGGTTGAATCTCCTTGCAGTCCAAGGAACTCTCAAGAGTCTTCTCCAATACCACAGTTCAAAAGCATCAATTCTTTCGTGCTCAGCTTTCTTTATACTCCAACTCTCACATCCATACATGACTACTGGAAAAGCCATAGCTTTGACTAGATGGACCTTTGTTGGCAAAGTAATGTCTCTGCTTTTTAATATGCTGTCTAGGTTGGTCATAGCTTTTCTTCCAAGGAGCAAGTGTCTTTTAATTTCATGGCTGAAGTCACCATCTGCGGTGATCTTGGAGCCCCAAAAAATAAAGTCTGCCATTGTTTCCCCATCTATTTGCCATGAAGTGATGGGACCAGATGCCGTGATCTGAGTTTTCTGAATGTTGAGTTTTAAGCCAACTCTTTTCACTCTCTCACTTTCATCAAGAGGCTCTTAGTTGTTCTTCGCTTTCTGCCACAAGGGTGGTGTCATCTGCGTATCTGAGGTTATTGATATTTCTCCCAGCAGTTTTGATTCCAGCTTTAGCTTCATCCAGTCCAGCATTTCTCATTATGTACTCTGCATATAAGTTACATAAGCACAGTGACAATATACACAGCCTTGATATACTCCTTTCCCGATTTGCAACCAGTCTGTTGTCCATGTCCAATTCTAACTGTTGCTTCTTGACCTGCATATAGATTTCTCAGGAGGCAGGTCAGGTGGTCTTGTATTTCCATCTCTTGAAGAATTTTCCACAGTTTATTGTGATCCACACAGTCAAAGGCTGTGGCATAGTCAATAAAGCAGAAATAGATGTTTTTCTGGAACTCTCTTGCTTTTTCGATGATCCAGCGGATGTTGGCAATTTGATCTCTGGTTCCTCTGCCTTTTCTAAAACCAGCTTGAACATCTGGAAGTTCACGGTTCACGTATTGCTGAAGCCTGGCTTGGAGAATTTTGAGCATTACTTTACTAGCGTGTGAGATGAGTGCAATTGTGTGGTAGTTTGAGCATTCTTTGGCATTGCCTTTCTTTGGGATTGGAATGAAAACTGACCTTTTCCAGTCCTGTGGCCACTGCTGAGTTTTCCAAATTTGCTGGCATATTGAGTGCAGCACTTTCACAGCATCATCTTTTAGGATTTGAAATAGCTCAACTGGAATTCCATCACCTCCACTAGCTTTGTTCATAGTGATGCTTCCTAAGGCCCACTTGACTTCACATTCCAGGATGTCTGGCTCTAGGTGAGTGATCACACCATTGTGATTATCTGGGTCATGAAGATCTTTTTTGTACAGTTCTTCTGTGTATTCTTGCCACCTCTTCTTAATATCTTCTGCTTCTGTTAGGTCCATACCATTTCTGTCCTTTATTGAGCCCATCTTTGCATGAAATGTTCCCTTGGTATCTCTAATTTTCTTGAAGAGATCTCTAGTCTTTCCCATTCTATTGTTTTCCTCTATTTCTTTGCATTGATCACTGAGGAAGGCTTTCTTATCTCTCCTTGCTATTCTTTGGAACTCTGCATTCAGGTGGGTATATCTTTCCTTTTCTCCTTCGCTTTTCACATCTTTTCTTTTCTCAGCTATTTGTAAGGCCTCTTCAGACAACCATTTTTCATTTTGCATTTCTTTTTCTTGGGGATGGTTTTGATCACAGCCTCTGAGCTATGAACCTCCGTCCATAGTTCTTCAGGCACTGTCTATCAGATCTAATTCCATGATTCTATTTGTCACTTTCACTCAATAATCATTGGAGATTTGATTTAGGTCATACCTGAATGGTCTAGTGGTTTTCCCTACTTTCTTCAATTTCAGTCTGAATTTGGCAATAAGGAGTTTGTGATATGAGCCACAGTCAGCTCCTGGTCTTGTTTTTCCTGACTGTATAGAGCTTCTCCATCTTTGGCTGCAAAGAATATAATCAATCTGATTTCATTGTTGACCATCTGGTGATGTCCATGTGTAGAGTCTTCTCTTGTGTTGTTGGAAGAGGGTGTTTTCTGTGACCAGTGAGTTCTCTTGGCAAAACTCTTAGTCCTTGACCTGCTTCATTTTGTACTCCAAGGCCAAATTTGCCTGTTACTCCAGGTATCTCTTAACTACCTACTTCTGCATTCCAGTGCCCTATAATGAAAAGGACATCTTTTTTTGGTATTAGTTCTAGAAGGTCTTGTAGGTCTTCACAGAACCGTTCAACTTTAGCTTCTTCAGCATTACTGCTCAGGGCATAGACTTGGATTACTGTGATATTGAATGGTTTGCCTTGGATACAAACAGATCATTTTGTCCTTTTTGAGACTGCATCCAAGTACTGCATTTCAGACTCTTTTGTTGACTATGATGGCTGTTGGAATTAACAAACTAAAATGGACTGGTTGGGTGAATTTAACTCAGATGACCATTATATCTACTACTGTGGGAAAGTTATTTCTTAATTGGCCACATTTTTTTCCCATTCACCTACTTAACCCCTCATTATCCAATATGAGAGCCTGAATAATATTCTGAGATTTAGGTGTCATTATATGAGAACCATTTTCTTAAAAGTCACTCTTAAACTTTGATATTCACTTTCTGAACCCATTTGAGAAGCAAAAGATTGCTCTAGACCAGCCACAGTAAAAAGCTGTGCCAAGTTGTCCTTCATGAATTTTACTTCTGTTGTCAGACCAACCTCAATAATTGAATTACATCATAAAGTTCATTGGGAAACAACTTTTCAGTTTTATATACTTGATTTATTTTAAATAAAATAATCTTAAAGGACTGTTAAAATATTAAGGAAACAGGTGGAAGAGGGGAAACTGGTTTCTCTATTGTAAACAAATTCCACTTTATATCTTTTAAACCTCTTTGGATTTCCCCATCTGATCCCCTGCCTGTTATAGGCACTAAATAAATATTAGAGAACAGTACCTTCAAAACATGTAGTCTTTGCCTTTCCTTGTTTGCCATGACTCTCTTCTAGAAAAAAAAAAAAAGGCACAGCATATTCGGGGTCATTGACAGCACAGACTTGTCAGCACTATCCATTTTTAAAGTTTCATTTTGGAAAATTACCCTTCACTTAAGGAACTCGTCAGGGTAGCAGCTCCATTAAAGCTATGATTTTTATCTAAAGTGGTAAGATATATGTGAACACATAAGAGCTATACCTTGTTATTCAGATGCCTCCTCTAATGCTGTCCTCTGACTCAGTTGCTTTAATTTAATGTTACCGTAGTTGCCCTGAAAGCAAGAATGCTCAGCCCAAAAGAGAGCTTGATAGCTTCTCTGTTGCAGCAATAACCACACAATTCCATTGTTTGTTTTATTTTTTCTCAGTGTAGAAAAGGATCTCTTATGTTAATGTCTATCCCATTTTCCTCCAGTTTTAAATGATGTATTATAGTCATCTTATGATCAGCAAAGAGTATAATTTGAGAAGCCAGTTCTATTGGCAAATGTCAGAAGAACAGCAACAAAAAAAGCCACCCGTATGGATTTTTTTGTTTTCTTCATTCTTTGCCAAAAATCTTAATTAGGTTTGCACGAGGGGAATTTTAGAAATTTTGTTTTCCTTGTATAACCTGTGAAATGAAAGCAAAATAGATTAAAGCCAGGGAAAAGATGAACTTAACAAGAGTGTTATTTCTTCTCCTTTTAAACACATTAATACATTTTATAGTTTTTTTAAATATGAGAAATGTGTTTTCATTTGATTATCCTTGTAATTAATAACTATACACAGAAAAGAATGTTTTTTTATTTTTTTAATTTATTTTAATTGGAGGCTAGTTACTTTACAATGTTGTGGTTTNTGCAGGGAAAGACGAGAAATGCCTGTGAACTTTATGAAAGAAGATTGTGAATATACCATGTCAAGAAGAAAAATTTGTTATCATGTTAGCCTCTAGAAAATTTAAAATTCAGTTCAGAAAAACATACTGTGACCAGCCATTATTTTTTTAATGCCACACATGTAGACTTATCATAATGGCATTATCACAGTATTGATGATGTTTCAGATATATTGTAAAGCCTGTATTCCAGCTCTTAAATAAAATATAAGCATGTTAAACACCTTATTTAGATACTGATAGTAACACTGCTGTATGGTGGCTGAAAGAGTGAAACATGAAAACAGTGACCTTAAGTGCTTTTTTTTTAAGCCTGATGGTACTAGTTAACTCTTTTAAGACAGCTGTATTGATAATTATATTTTCAGTATTGTGTTTCTGCACCTGTTAAATTATTTTTGTTGACATTTGTGTTAATACATAATTAGTAGGCATTCTGCTTTTTTAATGTTCATCTGGGAATGGAGTTTACATCTATTTGCATAACTCCCATAGCACTGAACTGAAATTATTTTACAACAATGTGGAATTCTTGAGATAGAAAGTTTATGTATAATGTATCCAAAAAGCAGTGTTTCCCATTGCTGTGAGAGTTGCTAATTATACAGATATTACCTCATATATACATACACTGGTGTCACAGTTTCTCTGAGGTGTTTCTATATTCTGAAAGCTACATATTAAATACTATTTTCCATTCATATATTCATTTAGTTTCCTTTAGGAGAGGATGATTGTTATATTAATGTGATTTAGGTTGCTCCAGTGTTTAGACTTGAAAGCTATCTTCCTTGTTTCTTAAAGACCTAGATATAAAAGAAAATGAAAAATAATTACTGGAGTCTTTACTTCCCTGATGTTTGTTTTATCCTTTGTTATGATCATTTTAGCACCAACTTCATGCATAATTAGTTTTTTTCATTGTAACGCGGCAAGTACATAAGAAATGAGCAAGTACATAAGAATTTTATTTCAGAAAAAAGGAGTTACTGCTAGAAAACAGACATGTAGGAGACATTTAACAGAGTAAGAAATGGGAGTTAGGCCATATGGGCTGACAGAACCATAAATAACAAGGCAAGGGAATGCTGACAGAGGAGAGAACTGAACAAGTAGCAACTTAAAAATATCAAAGTGCCAGCCTACCAGAGTGAGATATAGATTCTGTGTATTTATGATCTTGGCCTAGTCAACAAATCAAGACTAATGACAGAATAACATACAGAAAAATAGAAATTACACAGCTTTAGAACTGACAGAAACAAATAATCCTATTCTCACCACTAATTTAGCCATCGAATTTTGCACAAATATATCAAACTTGCTAGATTTCCATTTCCTCATCTCTGAAATGGGAATCATAACATTTAGGTCGGGATTAATATATAAACTGAGATAACACAGTGATTCTCAAAAGTTGTGCAGACTGTACAGCAAGGGGAAAGACCAGGTGCTCTTTGAAGAGCATAAGGATTTGAAAGAGTCCCAGAAAGCACTTTATATATTCAAGTAGTCTTGGTTCTCGTCTCAATTGTACAGGTCTGCAAACAGTCCTCAAAAGTGTATGCAGTTTTCCCAAGTTAAAATGAGTAGTGAGATCCAGGGCTAGGATTTGAGTCTAGAATTTAGGTGTCCTGGTTCCCCAGATACTATTCCAGTTTTTATACACAAATTAGCTATAATTTGCTAAATAAAATACTGCCATGTACTAACCAAGGTTTGGACTGTGGAGTCTGGCTCCCGAGTGTGTCTGTTTTACACCACGCTGAAGGCCTCTTGAGCTGTGCTGGTTAATTCTTTTGACTCTCCTTGTCAGTGAAGGTGTTTAGCAAATCCTATTATTATAAATAAACACTGACCTAGTCGAATTGCAAATTAAGTTCCTCCTGTCAGTGATGACTTCCTTGTATCTTAGGCTGTATTATAGGTTCAAACAGAAGGGTTACACTTGCCCTTTTCTGTCAGTTAAGAGTTTTGTCAGATTCCCTCCCTCCCTGCAGATATACCTTGAAGTCTCAGGTTATAGAAAGTCACACTTTAGAAGCTCTAGCTGAGGGACTTCCCTGGTGGTCCAGTGGTTCAGACTCTGCACTTCCAATGCAAAGAGCATGGGTTCGAGCCCTGATTGGGGAACCAATTCCCGCATGCCACTCAGTGTGGCCAAAAAAAGAAAATAGTTCTAGCTGAGCATCTAGAATGTGGCGTTAGTCATCTTCATTGCTTGTCTGACTCTATATTGGGCCCCTGTACTGGTAACTAGATTAAGTCTTGATGCCACCAACCTGCCTGGATCTGTAAATTCTCATGCTACAGTCCCGGTGGGGCTCTGCCGAGAGCCTTGCCTCCTCAGACCACACAGTTCCAGCCTCCTGGATGCACCTGCTCCCATTACCCTGCTCCACCTCAGTGGCTTGGTCTGGTTCTGCATTCCCATCCGGTTCATTGCCTTCTCTGTCCATCTACGTACCACCAGAGCTGAACGGCCATGCCTGCAACCAACATGTGTTACACCATGTGTTTGAGGACCCATGATGCAATGTGTAAATACAGTGGACTTCTTATGCCTTGCTCATGTCTAGAATGAGTTATCTGAAGTCCATGAAGCCTTTTTGAATTTCTTTTATTCTTCAGCCTACCCTTCCTAGAGTTCTTGACCCCCACTAATGAGAATTCAATTTGGTTTTTGTTTTAGCACTTCTTAAATCAGTTAACTGGGGCTTCCCAAGTGGCTCAGTGGTAAAGAATCTGCCCGTAATGCAGGAGACATGGGCTGGGAAGATCCCCTGGAGAAGGAAATGGCAACCCACCCCAGTATTCTTACCTGGAAAATCCCATGGATGGAGGAGCCTGGCAGGCTACAGTCCATGGGGTCACAGAAGAGTTGCACACAACGAGCAACTACCCAGCAACAACAAGTGGAGCTCTTGGATACGTAGCCTCCTTACAGGAAAAACCCGTGTATACGTACAAAAATGCTGTGTTTTGTATATGTATATATACATATATTCCATTTTAGAATACTAAATCTTGACAAAATGAGTATTTTATATTCAGACTTGAAAAGCTATTCTCACTCTTCCTGCCACTGAGCAGCAGTCCAGGAGGAGGGGAAAGGAGCTGGTGAGAACGGTGGTGATCCACAGAACTCCGGCACCCTGTTTCAGGACGACTTGCTGGCACCCCGTTCAGACAGTACGGCACGTGCTCCATGATACACAGAATGGTAACCACATATATGAATCCTCTTCACCACTGTGCACTCCTAAAGCCTTCCAGATGGCGAAGCTGATCACACCGACCCCACACCAGGCATAAAGTGAGCCCCACCCCAGGGCTCGCAAGGCCAGGGAAGACCCGCTCTCTGGTAAGGCAGCTGTGGCCATACTTCCCTTATTGAACCACTCAGGACTTTTCTTTTTAGCCAAGGACAATGTTGTGGCAAATCCAGCTAGCATTCCTGCTGCAGCAACAGAACCAAGGAAAATTCCACCTGTCGAGAGTTTTGGAGGAAGGGAATGGGGGGTAGGGAGAGAGAGAGAGAAAAAAAAAACAAAACAACAAAACCTGAAGTTAAAAAGATGGACACAAATAAGTTTCAGATACTATTTAAAAATCAATTTCGAANCTGTTTTGTGACCTGCTTTTATTCCTCCACATCAATACATATTCTTCTACAGCAGGACCTCCAATAGGATGTATAAACATCACCCATTACCTGATGGGTCAGGGTTTTTTCAAGTTACATACAGTCGTACCCATATGCCCCGTTCACCACTAACCACCATTGAGAATTACCCACCCAGGCAACAGGACTGTGCCATAACCACCTGTTATGTGAGAACAGAAAAAGGAGATGAAAGCCACTGTCCTGTGACAACGAGCATGTGATTCATCCCCTGTTGTTGGACATTTAATGAGAAATTTTATAGGCAGAAAATGCTCTACAAGCATACAAGCATAATTGGTATATGCATAAATCACCTGAAATCAAATCCCACTTTGACCCCTAGTTTCTTCATTTTTAAAGTGAAAGACTACCTCACCACCTGGGGTGACTCAGGGTAAGAATCTGCCTGCGATGCAGGAGACCACCTCCAATCCAGGAGACCCAGGCTCTATTCTTGGGTTGGGGAAAGATTCTGGAGTAGAAATTGGCAACCTACCCCAGTAATCTTGCCTGGGAAATCCCATAGACAGAAGAGCGGCTACAGTCCATGGAGTCACAAAGAGTCAGACAGAACTGAGCAACGAAACCACCACCGAGACTCCACCTCAGGGACTTAGAGGATTAGATGAAGTAAAAAAAACTTTTTCTGGAAGAAAGCGACTCAATATTATACAAAAACTGGTACCCAATGGAACATTGCCTTCGTGAAGAAAAGAAAAGAGAAAGAAGAGAGAAAGGAAAAGAAAGAAAGGGGGAAAGAGAGGAAGGAAAGGGGGGGAGAGAGAGAATGGGACAGAAGGAAGGAGAGAATGGGAAGGAAGGAGAGAAAGGAAGAAAGAAAAAGATAATCCGAAAGGAGAATTTATACAGATGCTTTAAAAGTGGACCCCCTAGTTAGACACAATGAAAATGCACCATAAGGCAGTTTCTGAGAACTTTCTCCTGACAACTCTGGGTTATCATTCTCCTGACACCTCTCCTCCCGCCCCAGGCAAAGCCCAGCATCTGATTTGCATAGAAATGCAATAAACGTTTATTTGGATTTAATTCTCTTTCTAACGTATCAGATTCTCTTCAGATAATTCTTCCCATTCCTTGTCTTTAGAGTATATCCTATTGTTTTAAGATTACCATAAAATTAATTACAATTTTGACCAACTGTCTTAAAATAATGCATCCCTGTCCCAGACCAGTGACATATTTCCCTTCATTTTCCTTTGGCAGATTTGATCTTGTGGAAGGGCCTGGGTCTGGGATGTTTTAGTAGCCACTTGAACCTTTATTGCCACTCTTATTTTTCCTTTCCCAATGATTAAAATATATATACACACCTGTGCAGGTGTGATATTTCTAACTCTTTGAAAACTAAGAGAAAGGCAGTGGTAGGGCCAGATCTACAGTTGGTGGGGCGTGGGGTTGCCCAGAGCAGATAAAATTTGTGGAAATCTCTGTAAGAAAAACAATATAAAATTACCAAAGCAAAATTAGGTTTGAACATGAGAATTTCTTCAGAATAAGAACAAAAATGACAACAAATTGCTAGAACCTTGGAGACCCAGCTCCATTTCTACTAAGATCTCCCTGGGCAGTTTATCAGGAATGCTTCCTGGCTGCACTCGACCACTCCAGTATTCCAAGAGTACCTGTGTCAGGTGAGAGGCCCAAAGCTTAAACTTCATTAACTCACACAAATCTACCTCTAGGTGGTCAAGTGGATAAGACTTCATGTTCCCAATACAAGGGACTTGGGTTCAATCCCTAGTAAGGGAACTAGATAGATCCCACATGCCGCAAATAAGTGTTTGCATGCCACAGATAAACAACAACAACAACAACAAAATTTCACATGCCACAACTAAGATCTGGTGCAGCCAAATAAGTAAATATTAAAATAAGCAAATCTGCCTCTAGGTGAGAAATGAGAGGGAAAAGTTAATGTAATCAACTTTTTCAAAATTTAGTGGAACAGGCATCACAATCGCTGCTTTACTTCGTAATATGTATATTAGTTTCCCAGGGCTGCTGCAATACATTATCACAAATGTTGCTCATAACAGCAAGTGTATTCTGTTAAGATTCTGGGGATTAGAAGTCTGCAATGAGTGTTCAGTCACTCAGTCGTGTCCAACTCTTTGCAACCCCATGGACTGCAGCAGGCCAGGCCTCCCTGTCCATCACCAACTCCTGGAGTCTACTCAAACTCATGTCCATCGAGTCGGTGATGCCATCCAACCATCTCATCCTCTGTTGTCCCCTTCTCCTGCCTCCAATCTTTCCCAGCATCAGGGTCTTTTCCAATGAGTCAGTTCTTCGTATCAGATGGCCAAAGTATTGGAGTTTCAGCTTCAGCATCAGTCCTTCCAATGAATATTCAAGACTGATTTCCTTTAGGATGGACTGGTTGGATCTCCTTGCAGTCCAAGGGACTCTCAAGAGTCTTTTCCAACACCACAGTTCAAAAGCATCAATTCTTAAGTGCTCAGCTTTCTTTATAGTCCAACTCTCACATCCATACATGACTTACTGGAAAAACCATAGCCTTGACTAGACAGACCTTTGTTAGCAAAGTAATGTCTCTGCTTTTTAATATGCTGTCTAGGTTGGTCATAATTTTTCTTCCAAGTGTGAGGGAGCTAAAATCCAAGTGTTAGCAGGGCGGGTTCCTTCTGGAAGCTCTAGTGGATGATCTGTTTCCCACCTTTTTGAGCTCTGCACTTGTCTGGCCCCATTCTATCCTCAGAGTCAGTTACAGCCAATGGAGTCCTTCTTATGTCACGTTGCACTCTATTGGTCTTCTGCTTCCCTCTTTTACATTTAAGGACTCTTGTGATTACATGGTGTCCTACCCAGAGAAGCCAGGATAATCTTGATCTTAAAGGCAATTGATTTGCTTACCATCTGCTTTTGATTTAATTCCACCTGCTACCTTAATTCCTCTTTGCCACATAATTTAACACACTTAACAGTTTCTGAGGATTAGAATATGGTCATCTTTAGGGGAGAGGGGTGTTATATTTCTATCTGAGCTCCCCTGGTGGCTCAAATGATAACCTGCCTAAAATGCAGGAGACCTGGGTTCGACCCCGAGTCAGGAAAAACCCATGGAGAAGAGAATACCCACTCCAATATTCTTGCCTGGAGAATCCCATGGACAGAGGAGCCTGGCAGCCTACAGTCCGTGAGGTTGCAAGTGTCAGACAGGACTGAGTGGCTAACACTTTCACTTCACTTTATTGTTCTAGCTACCACAGTGAGGAAACTATGTGAATGCCGAGTACTTTTGAAAGTGTGATTTGTAATCAGATTCCCATAAGATTTTATTAGTTCTTAGTGTGGAGAATTTGGTGGGGTGTGTGTGGAGGGGGGTGGAGTGTAGAGGGAATTTTATTTTTTTAATTGAAGTATTAGTTGATTTACAATGTGTAAATCAATGTGTAGTTTCAGGTATATAGCAAAGTGACTCAGTTATACATACAAATTTTCAGATTCTTTTCCTTCATAAGATTATTATAAAATACTGTGTATAGTTCCAGGGAGAATTTGTACTTTTAATTAGACTATCAGGCAATCCAAAGTGCAGTTGTACATTTCAAAACTGAAACAGAGTGGGACCCAAGCTCACCATGCCCAGAGCCTGCTGCCTTTGGTTTTTCCTAATGAAGGCAGTTGCAAAATTCTGTCAACCCTAGAAGATATCAGATGCAGGATTTTATCTAAAGAAAACAGAATTTCAAAAAGATAGCTGATTGGACACTCACTTTTACTCTCTCCTAAACTGCATTAAAACATAAACCTATAAGAATAAAGTGAACATGAGAAGGAACAGCACCAGTGTTCTAGGAGCTGCTGAGCAGATGCATAAGGGGTACTGACTTGGTAGAATTGAAAAAGAATGAATTCTACTTTCAGGGGAAGGAGGAGGTGGGGGGGAAGGGGCAAGTCAAGAAAAGGGCCAAGTAACAGAAGCTCTGGGAGTGATGGCGCCAGCTACTCTGGGCAAAGGAGGGCAGGCATAGGCTGAAACGAGGAGGGTTAGTTGAAAGCTGTTTGAAAAGCACTTAGATCCCTAGATACCCCAGCCTTCCCGCAGCGCTGGGTGATGGCCCCCCTCACCCCAACAGAGATGATTTGTCTCTTTGAAGAGGCTAAAGCAGAAAATCTTTTTCCAAAAGGGAAAACACATATGAGTTAAGTAAATGACACATCATACTAATTGCAGAACTTCTTCCTCAACCCACCATGACAGCAGCCAGTCCCTCACTTCCAGGCAGAAGACCAAACAAGTCTTTTTCTAGGTGGGGATCTCTCGGGCCCTGGAGGAAAGGCCTTATGACGCAGCCATGAGTGTTGACATCAGGCGTTCCCAGTCAACTCTGCCTGAAGGACACCTCATCCTCTCGCTCAGAGATTCTGGGCAGCTCTTGAGGCCCCTACTTGTAAATACAAGGAGGCAATCAAATCTGAGGAGACCTAAGAAAAGCCTCTGATATGAAAAACTGGAAACCAAAAAAACAAGCTGGAAAAAAAAAAGTGATGAAAATACAAAATATGCAGGAGGAAGAAAATTACAGTAAAAATAATAACAACTCAATGTCTTCAGAGAAACTGGATTCTTATTTCAATACACCCATGAGATCAGAACTAGAAGCTATAAAAAAAAAATCTTTTTTGCAGGAAATAAAAATGAGCCCTATTAGGGAGGAACAGAGGAAAGCCCATCATATCATCATATCCCTAGCATACTGTCTAAAAATAGACCCACCCAAATGACCTGAGTTAAAAGAGAAGATTCTACAAGTTTTAAGTGAGAAAACCAACACACAAAGGTGAAGGGAATCCAAACTTCTCAAAAGGAAATCTGGAAGGTAGAAGATGATAGAGCAAAGCTTTCAAAAGT